AGATAGATAGATAGATAGATAGATAGATAGATAGATAGATAGATAGATAGATAGATAGATAGATATTGCTACAAAATGCTAAAAAACAACAACAAATGTGACGGGAATGGCTCAAGAAGAAGAAGTATTCACAGGAAGTGTGTTTATCTTAGAAAAATGTAATGGAAAAAGTTTTACTTCACAGAAGTAGTTCTTAAAAGTTTATCCAAAATCTGATGTGGTTGGACATTTTCTCACTCTTGTTCAGTTTTGGTTCAGTTATGGATACAGGTATTGGTAGTTTGTACTTATCAGTCGTGACATCAGGCGAAAACACTGAGTGTTATTCTTCTTTCAGCTGCTCCATCTTCAGGGGCCACCACAGTGAACTAACTCGCACGAAAACTTCACGATTGTTTTTATGCCGGATGTCCTTCCTGATGCAACCACAAACCACAGAGCTACCACAACCCTCTGTGTGGAGCGGAGAGCTGCTATCTAGGGCGCCCAGGGGAGCAGATGGTGGGGGTTAAGAACAGGGATACCATGGTCCTTAAACCAGGTACTGGTAACTTTGGCACTGTGTGTAGGTGTCACGTCTTGCTGGGAAATAAAATCTGCATATCCATAAATTTGGTCGGCAGCAGGGACCATGAAGTGCTCTCAAACTTCTTGGTAGATGGCTGCGTTGACATTGGACCTCAGAAAACACAGTGGACCAACACCAGCAGATGACATGGCCCCCAAAACCATCACTGACTGTGCAAACTTGACACTGGACCTCAAGCAACATGGATTCTATGCCTCTCCTCTCTTCCTCCAGACTCTGGGACCTTGATTTCCAAAGGAAATGCTAAATTTACTGTAATCAGAGAACATAACTTTGGACCACTCAGCAGCAGTCCAGTCCTTTTTGTCTTTAGCCCAGGCGAGACGTTTCTGATGCTGTCTCTTGTTCAAGGGTGGCTTGACACAAGGAATGCAACAGCTGAAAGCCATGTCTTGCATACAGCTGTGCGTGGTGGTTCTTCAAGCACTGACTCCAGCTGCAGTCCACTCTTTGTGAATCTCCCCCACATTTTGGAATGGGTTTTGTTTCACCATCCTCTCCAGGGTGCAGTTATCCCTATTGCTTGTACACTTTTTTCTACCACATTGTTTCCTTCCCTTCACCTCTCTATTAATGTGCTTGGACACAGAGCTCTGTGAACAGCCAGCCTCTTTAGCCATGACCTTTTGTGTCTTGCCCTCCTTGTGCAAGATGTCAATGGTCGTCTTTTGGACAACTGTCAAGTCAGCAGTCTTCTTCATGATTGTGTAGCCTACAGAACTAAACTGAGACCATTTAAAGGCCTTTGCAGGTGTTTTGTGTTAATTAGATGATTAGAATGTGGCACCAGGTGTCTTCAATATCTGAGATACTGAATTTGGGGTTTTCATTAGTTGTCAATTATAATCATCAACATTAATAGAATTAAACATTTGAAATATATCAGTATGTGTGTAATTAATGAATATAATATACGTTTCACTTTTTGAACGGAATTACTGAAATAAATCAACTTTTTCGTGATATTCCAATTTTATGACCAGCACCTGCATTATCAAACTGAAATATCCATTTAAATTCCAGGTCACCAGAGATCAGAGGAAATGCCCCCGTACGTTCCTCTTACGTTGGTTTTTGTTGGTTTTCATAAAGGCTGTCATGCAGGGAAACGTGAAAATGTGCAACGATGTAACTTTTTTAAATTTCCCTTCTCTCAGTTTACAAAGAGCTTCTCAGACTTGCCGATTATAAAAATAAAAGTCTATAAACTCAGCGACTATCAGTAAGAAATGTAAAAAAGTGTCATTATTTCTCAGTCACTGACTCTTTTTGTCACAATTACAGTGTTTGCAGAATCAGAAGGAAATGCTTTGACTCACACATCACCTCGTTTGTCCTCCCTCCCTTTTCGTACAAAACCCACTTATTATCTTTTACTGTTGTTTTCTGAACTTTACGAGGGGCCTTTTGGGCTTGGGCTCTTTGATGGGGCTTATAAAGGAGTGTCAGGGACAGCTCAGACTAAAACAAAATAACACAGAGGAGACGAGAAGCGTCTTTAAAAGGAGGGATTAATAGAATTCTGACAGAGTTGCAATATAAACATATTGAAGTAATAAAAACCAAGAGGGGTGGTAATATAATAAAAAAGGCCTTGTCAAAGAATAAAGTTTGAACGCAACATGTAAATATACTGTACAGTGGGACAAGTCATCTTTGACTCTCAACACGATCTGAGGAGGATTTAGAGAGACTCTGGGCTTGTACTGGTCCGGCACCGCTGGAAGTTTCTTATATAAAAAGGATTAGAAACAAATGTTTGCACTCATGTGGCTATAATCAAGTCCGGGGCTCTGCGGCCGGCCTTTCAGCTGAGCTGTGCAAAGGGAATTAAAAAAAAAAAAGAAACCCAAACTCTCTCCTCTCGTTTCCAGGAACAGGCCACAAGGACTGAATGTCTCTGGGAGAGCTCAGAGGACTGAAAGAAAAGGGGGAGGAGGTTCTGAGGTGAAGCGACAGGAAGCATGTTTCTTCTTCTCTTTCTCTTTTTTTAGCTGCTGGCAGGAACCGTCAGCGACCAGATCTGCTTTCAATTACCGGTGGAAGATGATGTTAGCCTTCTTCCTGTCCCTTATGTCTTGCACATGCAAACTCCAAAACATCCTGGAGTCTCACCGCTGTCCTCTCATCCCTCCTTCTCCCCCCATCTTACCGCTTTTGTTTGTAGTTTTCAAGATGAGAGTTCCAAGTTTTCCTGGGCTGTAACTGAACAGGGAATGGAAGTAAACCTAAATGTTTTTGGTGCAAGATATTCAAGTGGGTAGGAGTTACAGTGTGGAGAAGAGAAGAGGCAGGTTTTTTTTTAATTGCTTGTCTGAGGCAGCGCAGAGTGATGGGTCTCGGCGAGTGGAGGGAGGAATTTTATCCACAACCAGGTGCAGTGGTGGAGCCAGGGGGTGGCCAGCGGTGGCTTTGGTCACCCCAAGGGCCACCACAATCATTTGAGGAAACTATACTTTTAAGCAATATAAAACTAGAAAGCAAAGTTTTCTCTAACGACAGAGGTTTACATTTATACATGGAGGTGGCCATCTTGGATTTTAATGTGTCCAACCCAGTTTTCAAAAAGAACCTTTGTCATTCGTAGATTCATCCGCACATCAAAATAAAAGTTGGTACCGCACTTATATTTCAAGTTATCGCACTCACAACTTGCAGGGACAACCACACTTACTTATAGAAAACAGCCCCTTCGGTTTGAGCCAAGTTTTTAATTTTAAATTTGTAACGGAGGTTGACACCACTGCTTTAAAATCATCAAGCCTTTATATCCCATACGTTACATGATTAGGCTTATAATGAGATAATACAGAAACACGCCTCAAATGGTGTTAAAGTCCTAGTAACAATATAGTTCAGATGTCTGACTGTCTTTCCATTCTTACAGAAACATCAGCAGTCATGCTGTCACTTCTAAAAACTCTGTGTCAGGGGGTTGTGTCGTTCTGCATACAACAAAGGTACGGCTGTAAAAAGTTTTGGGCTACACGGACCACCTGCAGTTATATGACCAGAAACAGATTCACGGGGTGATGATGGCATACGGTACTGTACCTTGGGGACGTCGATTGCAACCTCTCTCATGGCGCTGGGCTTCACGGCAGTCATGGCCCATTGGAGGTCCTGCAGAGTGACGGTTACCGTCCCCATTAGCTGCTGATCCGATGCTTGATGGGAAGCTCCCAATGCTCGCCTCAGTGCATGCAGACCTGGACAGAAAGGTTTACAGATGTTAAACAGAGAAGACTTGACTGAAAGTTTAGACATTTTGCTGATGTCAAAAACAAAAAATAAATCACGCTGCGGCTCATAAGAAATCTAAACATATGCCTAAAATGCAACACCACATTAGTTTCCAGTTAGGGTTCCCCACAGGTGTCTGGTCCATCTTTACTTAAAATATTCAGGCTTGTACATGCTGTAAGGATGCACAACTAGTAATTTTACATGCCTCACTAATTCCCTTTTTGGTGATGGAAATATTCAAGTCTGCATTGGTGAGAAAGGAAGTGAAGGGAAGGAAGTGGACTTGAATCACTTACTGTAAATGCCTTCAGCGAGAATGTGAATAAAAGAAGATGACAAAACAAAACAGGTCCGGATGAGTCGAGAAGAAACACCTGATTCTCTTTGCAAAAAGAGATTATCGTGTCAAAGGCCCATGTGAAGGCAAACGTCTTCAAGGTATCTTGAACTTGTAGGTTTTCAAATGAGCAGAGTAAAAATAATGTTGTGGATAAACTGGGGGCATGAACAACAAAACTCTTTATGTCCGTTCTCACCAACACTTTGAGCCTCAGAGCGAATAAAAGCAGAGTGTGGTGTGAGAAAGTGTGGGCAGAGCAGGAAAGTCTATTCAAGTGGTGGCCCGGGGGCCAAATCAGGCCCACGGGTGAACTAAGTTCAGCCCTTCAATGGGTTCATTTTTAAATAAAACTAGATTTTAAACCATAAAATAAACTTAATGACATTGGCTTTCAGTAACTGTGGCCCTCTGAGTAATTTAGTTGAATAGCCTTGGTCTAAAGCAATGGTGAAAATGTGCAGGCTGTCCCATAAAGTCTTGTTTAGATCACGTCAGGTGCCACTCATGGCCAATTTGCAAAAGCAAACTCTCTGATTTGACCTCCGCAGACTGGCAGACGTCTTGAAATGAACATGTAAAAAAACCTCTCTCTGTTAGACCAAGAGCTCCATATTGTTTGTAAAAAGGCGTTGGAAGCCTACCCACGGTTATGCTTCTGTTGACTATTAAAGGGATGAATTGTCGTCGAGCCCCAACATTACTCTGGACATACCAGACAGCAGTCAGCAACTCTGAATGAACTGGGAAATTATGACACAAAGATAAAACCCAACAAAGTTGAGTCAGTCTGGACGGTTTCTTTTTGTTGAAACGTTTCATCTTTCATCCAAAAGACTTCATCAGTCCGAGGAGCTACAACAAACAGCACCTTCACATTGTGGGTCAACCAGGTTGATGGTGCTAAGATGGTTAATGGAGTCCGCCCTCACCCCCGCCAACTTGTTTGAAGCAGTCATGGCTAAAGCGGTTCAAAACATCCACTTTGGCCATGTGACGCACCATCGCAGCATCTGAGCATCAAACTGTTTGATCCACTAAGTAAGGTGCTATTTATAAGACTGAGTTTGTTGCGGCTCCTCAGACAAGATAAGTCCATCCCAGCAGTAGGAGTCTTAATGTAATCAAATCGTGAGGTGCCTTAGAGTAACAGAGCAAACTGACAAAATGTTTTTTATATCAAGGTGCTCGGTTAACTGCAGTGAAGGAACAGTACAGATGTACGCAGCTATTCACAAGTTGTGTCTGCATTTGAGATTAGCCTTTTTCCTCAAATAGATTAAATTACCGTAATTTCCAGACTAGAAGCTGCTATTTTTTTCACAAGCTTTGAACACCGTGGCTTACACAATTCTGCGGCTGATTTTTGGATATTTATGGGCTAACGAGCTTCATGTCGCCAAAACCTTTAGCCTCGTCACACCCGGGTGCTCAAATAGCTGCCCAGTCCACGTCTCTCCTTGGGGGGTGGGTTCTCATGACTCAATAAGACTACCTGTATAGATAAAGGTAAACAAGAATCTGACCACTGAATTTACTGAACAGGTCATGGTGGACCAATGAAACTTTGTCCCCCCCCCCCCCCCCGCTCTCTGGGGCACAACAAAGTTTTTGCAGCCACTCAACATACGTGTGAGAAAGGAAGATGAAGATAGCGATCAATGACTTTTCCTGGTAGCTACTTTACTTTTTATCTTTTATAACCAGCTGTGCTACAGGCACCGTTCAGAAAAGAAAAAAAAATCCTGTATGTATTTGTGTATGTTACCAGTACGTATCTAATTAAAAGTTTTTTTTTAATATTTCTGCGTAAATATCTCGAGGACGCCTGTGGCTTATATGTACAAATTTTTTTTTTTTCTTTGATGACTTCTGCTGTGACTTGGTGCTATATAAATAAACTGAACTGAATTTTAAAGTTAGTGGGCACAGCTTATATTTAGGTGAGTTCAATAGTCTGGAAATTACGGTACAGGTTGTGTTTTGGTGTCCGCATTATATTTTGAATTAGCAAATTTCTGTAAAACTTTAGAACGACTAATGCTCCTGGAAATCGACAGGTCTGTGTTAGATTTAAAGCAGCTGTGGTTTTGTTTAGGGGGACTTTGAGGGAGCTTCCTTTTCACCGAGGATTGTTTCCACAATCAGTAAGGAAGTCTTGTGGCATTTGGTTTTTGGTTTCAGCAGCCACAGTTCTCATCCATGTCAAAGAGGGAAATGGAGATTGATTAAGGAGCTTGTTTTTATGCACATTCTATGCAGAAAACGTCATAGTTTACTTTTTTATATATATAAAGTTTTGCTTAAGTTAGGATTCCCTACATCATAAAATTGCTTAGTTGTTTTGCAGATTGAAGAGTACAGAAGCTGTGCACGAGCGGTAGGAGAGCAGGTCCCTCAGACGATCACAGACCTGCCCACAAGCATGTTTTTACATCCAAAAGTTAGAGTCAAAACTATTCTTAGTGCACGTATGCATGCATCATACAAATGCCCAAACTGTTGGCTTTCTGCTCTGCAGAAGGCCTGGGTGGGGGTCTTTGTGGGGGAAGAAGAGGCGAGTGCTGCAGGGGACTGGCCGAGGTTCAGGGCCAGGGGCCAGAGAGCAGACGAGAGGGGATTTACGATCAGACAAGACTGCATCCTGTTTATATTTTCCAGGGCCTGTCTGACTACGCAAGGCAGCGGCAGACAGAGAGGAGGAAAAGACGGAGAAACAATGAACGCAGGCAGATTTGTCTTCTGTGAGCATGCCGAGCTGGGATCAACGTGTTCCTGGCTCCCTTGTGTGTCCTGCCCTGTTCCTCTCCAAACCACAGCACCCGCCATGGTTTTTCTCTCAATCCCCAGAGCTCTCAACATCCCATCCTTCCACCTGGACGCAGATTTTGGCTCAGCCTCATCTGTGGCCTGAGCAAAAAGACATCTGGTTCGAGTGGAAAGGAACATGCAAAAAGGGACAGGAAGTGGAAAGTAGCTAAGGAGCTACACCACGTGCTCTAACCCCAAACCCTCGGCTGCCTGCTCTGTAAAGCTGCAGGGCCTCAGCCTGCCCCAAAGACTGAGGATGATGGAGGAGGGAAACAAACCGCTGGGTTTTTATCTTGTTAGGAAAGTTAAAAGACTCTGCAGCTGAATATCCCCCTCAGGATATTTTTGTTTCCACTCTAAGACAAAAAATAAAAATAAAAAAAAAACAGTTTCACAGGCCAAACATAAATTATGTTGTTTTCTTTTGTCATCTTTGAAACTTCCAATAAAGTGGATTGATGGATGAAAGGGGGAAATCCACATTTCCCTTTAATAATTAGTTCAAAACAAAAGCAAAGCCTTAAGAAACTCAAAGGTGCTCTGCATTATTAAAATGTTGCGTTACAAGGGAAACCTTTGACGCAATCGTCTATGAAACGTTTGAAATTTTACAGATACACTGAGTCTACGACAATTTAACTCCCAATTTCTAAATCTCTGCAGTAAGTAACAGCTAACTTGTAGCTACCAGTCAATAAACTCTAGAGCCCCGACTAATAATTTAGGTTGGTATAGACGTTTGGGGACATATCGTATCAGTGATAATTGGCCCATTATGCGTCGATATAAGCACTTCTAATTTTCACCCCTAAAATGCTGAAAATAGCTGTAATTGTACAACGTATCCAGCAGAGGGCGCATGAAGGCAACTTTCAAGTCATGGCTGTTCCCTTAAGTTTCACTTTTACGCTCAGCACAGATGAAGCAGGGAGCAATACTGTGTAGAGTACAGTAGTCCCTCGTTTATCGCGGGGGATCCGTATCCTGAAGCCCCACGATAAGTAAAAAAAAAACTGTAAAGTAGGAATAGTAGTACAAGTAGTAAGGAGTAGTTTATTTTAGTATATATATGTGTGTGTATACACACTATTTTCCGCTGTACAAGTAGCACTGCCCTATTTGTCGCATCAGTCCAAATATGTCTAATAAAGAGGAAAAATCCATAAATACATTGCTTCCATGTATACGAGATTAACACTTAAAAACAATTGTTTGTTTGCTCGACTTTATAGTAAAGGCGTGCCTCAGTTGAACTTTTACTTAATAAATGCACTTGGGTTTGACATCTTACTATCAGCACGAGACAGTCCTCAATGAAATGCATCGTTTGTCTGAAATCTTTACACCTCTGCAAAAAAATAAATAAACTGCAGCGGTCAGTACAAATTAGACCTTCACCGTACGTGACTGACTGTTTAAACAATTAACAGGGAAGGGTGTTTCTTTAATTTACAGTGTCTTGTGAAAGTATTCGTCCCGCTTGAACTTTTCAACCTTTTGTCACATTTCAGGCTTCAAACATAAAGATATAAAATTTATTTTTTTTGTGAAGAATCAACAAGAAGTGACGTGGAATTAAATTTATTGGCTGTGTCAAACTTTTTTAACAAATAAAAAACTGAGAAGTGGGGTGTGCAATATTATTGGGCCCCTTTACTTTCAGTGCAGCAAACTCAGTCCAGAAGTTCAGTGAGGATCTATGAATGATCCAATGTTGTTCCAAATGACTGATGATGATAAATATAATCCACCTGTGTGTAATCAAGTCTCCGTATAAATGCACCTGCTCTGTGATAGTCTCAAGGTTCTGTTCAA